ACAAAAATGTAATACGACATGACGAATATTAAATAATATAACGAAGGTGAACAAAAATTGTACGCCCTAACTAAATAATTTCAATCCTAAGGTACTTTAAAAAAGAAAGACTACTAAAATGCTTTTTATATATCTGACCCTCATCCTATAATAATATTACATTTCGTTGTGATTATAAAAGAAATACAGTATAAAAACATAATTCAATTTATTTTACTTTTCTTAAATCATTTTTAATAAATAATAAAAGTAGATTTCAGCATTACTTTTCTGACGGTGAATATGAATGATACATTTTTCCGTATTAATTTATTATTTTATTTCCCTTCTTAGACAAATTTCATTTTCAACAATATTCATAGTTTTGGTTGAAAAAAAAGTAAAAAGGAAAAAAAAAAAAAGACGCAAACGTACTGTATCATATATAATCAATGATTTAACATTTCATTTAGCTAATTTTAAAAAATTATTTCGATTAAATTATCCGACTAATTTTCAATCATTTCTTCGAGGATAGACCCAAACAAAAATATACAAGATAAAAGAAAAGTATAGAAAAAAAAAAAGAAAAAAGAAACAAAATCAGGTTTGGAAGTGTCGAAGAAATCACAGTTGCAGAGACTTGCAGCAATTATGAGAGTGTTCACGTGCGTGTCCCGCGTACGGCTGCCCACGTACTACCCTTATTAACAGCAAGACTATGTCGGCACTTAAAATAAACCCTAACACTTACCAAAAACCGGATATGAAATATCCCCTTCACAAATTTTTTTAGTAAAATTTTTTTTTTTACAAAAGAGAGGTGGATTTTATAATCCAACATTAATTATCTCATTAAAAAAATAAAGATTTCGCTATTGCATAAAAATATACTCATCCGTTCCATAATTATTGTCCAGTTTGAGTTTTCGTTTCTAGTTTAAATTGTACTAAAAGTGAAATCTGAAACTCGACAATAATTTTGGGACAGAGAGTATTAAACTCCGACATGTTATTTTCCATGGAAATTTACGTATAAATGATGTAGCATAACGAGTCCTTAAATCTTGTAGCAAAATTACTCAACCACGAAAAATAAATATACAAAATGGTATCCAAGAGAATTGTCGTTAAACTTATGAACATTGTCCAGCCATGCAAAACTTGAGACTAGTTATAATTAATGAATAATAACCCAAACTACAATTAATCAAATTGTTATCGTAAAAAAAAAAAGAAAAGAAAAAAAAGGGCGTGTTATTTTTTGAGGAACGATATTGCGTTCGCGATGTAATAACCACTATAAAATTAGCCTGTCGAAGAAGCAAAGAATATTCACCTTAATTTTTGTCTCATGTGATCCTTGAATTCCTCCTGATTAATTAGTACTGCCGATTGCCATTTGTGGACTTGGGAACAAGTAAAGAATATTCACCTTCTTCTTCTTTTATGATATCCCGCGGGCATGCAATCCTAATAAAAGCAAAGAATTTTACGTTTAAATCTATCGAAATGCATTCACATAGTTGCTTCAAACGCAAATGAAGCAAATTTGTGATTCTGTGTCAAGATTAAACGAATCGATGAATGATTTTACCATTTCGGCTAAGTGAAGAACTGATTTGTTCTTTTCAGCAATATCTTTGTTTGCATTATACATTTATGAACATATTAACGTGTGAATTTTGCGCTCATATCTTTGAAAAGACACAATTCAATCGATTTTGTTAACTTAGGTTCGATATTAACAAAATATAATGTCGTTTTCTAATTCATTATCTGACTGACGTAACGGGTTTGGATATGAAAACTGTAACATTTTTCATTTTTTATGATTTGAAGATTGAAAATAGCTAGCTTCCGGTAAAGGATGAATCAAAATTAAGGGGCAATTTTCCTTTTTCTTTATTTTTGAAGTAAAAATCTATGAGCCGTACTATTTCCAAGATTCTTCCTAAGATTTTGGCATGAGGCAGCGCAAATTCATGGCTGGAGATTGGTTTAGAAAAAAGTTGAATCCATCAACTTTAGTACGTACCTTGCCAATCTTTCTATGATTTCGTGATATCAGAACTTTAGATTGGTCACATGCAGTCGATAAAATTAGAACGATACAAAGGCGATTACTTAATACTACTAATCCAGAGTTATTGTTGGCCGTGCACAAAAATGACGTACAGAAATTAACAATGGTGCCCGGAGAAAAGTTTTAGGTTACAATTATACTCCCTCCGGTCTTTATTATAAGTCATTTTGATTTTATCTTTGGTTTCATCTATGATACATTTTTAATTTGAAAAACATTCTTAAAAAATATATTTTCACACTCGTTGTGTTCTCCTAATTATTAGAAAATGTTTTTAAGATTTTTATTTCAATTAAAAAGACATCATAGGCGAAACTTAGGACAAATCAAAATGTCTTATAATAAGAACCGGAGAAAATAGATAATTAATATTATAATGATATAATATTAATCATCTGTAATTTCCTCATGATTATTCGTAATGGATATGGTTTAAAGAAAAATTAAGACAACAATTTCCTGGAAAAGTTGTAGGACATAGAAATGAAAGGAACTCAGTCATCAAATAAAGAAGACACGCTACACATCTACATTTTGCTAAGTAGTTTCCTAATTTTTAGTTTAAATTATACCTTATTAATAAGAACGGAAGAATACTAAAATATGTGGAGGGAAAAGAAATTTTGTGGCTGTAACCTATTTAAAATTACTTTAACAAACTAAGAGATAAAAGAGAAACAAAAATAACTCCCGCTAGGTTCATTATTCGAAAACTCGAGTAAAAAATTCTTAAGTACTTCTAATTAAAGTTCGCAGGAATGAGATTGGAGAATCGCATCATCTAAGCATATAATGTATGTTTTGTAATAATTTGAATATTTTTAATTAATATACATGTATTATTTTCAAAAACAAAAAAGTAAAAAATTCATCTGTTGGAAGTTGGAACACAACAAATTAACAACGCAATCGTTTTGGAGGTAAGATTGGAAAAATTAGAAAGTGTAACTTTAAAGACCTGATACACATAATATCTACAAAAGATCACATAGACCACTTGTGATGACTGATGAGAACTAAAAAGTAAAAGAAAAATTAAAGCAATAAATAATGGTTACAAGTGCATTACATATTGTAGTATTATTTTCTCCCTAGGTTTTAGTGCATTCAAGATTCTGGCACAGTTGCAAGGTTAGACTGGTTATCTAGTCTGTGACCTGCAAAATTGAATTTAATTAAAAATTGTTGTACTATATTTACATTTATATATGTAATGAATAATTAATTACTTAAATTAAAATATAAGATGTAAGTCTGTAAGTACATCAATTCAAGTCCTTTATTATATAGAGCTCGATGGCATGTTTACAAAAATCGACGCACACCAGCTTTACTACTGACATTTTACCAGTTTCTGTCTACTACCTTTGGATTTTACATTTCTTTATATTCTTTGGATTAAACTTTTTTTTTTTTTAGACTCAAATATCTTATTATTTATAATTATTATTTGGTTTTAGATCAGTAGCAGATGGAAAATAGGGGTGCTAGAGAACTTATAGGAGTAGTAGTGCTGTGATGCTGTACTTCTCAGGTCAACCAAATTCTTGAACATGCTAGCTAACTTGACTGATCGGTAAATTCTTGAGGATTATCACAAAAAAATTTACTGTTTAGGGTATGATTAACAGCTTCTTTAAGGTTTCTAATTTCTATCAGGACAGTAATACTTGCTGTTAGTAGAAACATAATGCAATTCGTATTTAGGAAATTCACTAGATGACCTAAACGACTATGAAGTATGAACATTAGCAACATTCGGTCCAAGTTGTAAAATGAATTATGATCTTAATATGAGTATGCATCTATTAACGATAATAAAAATATTTGTTACAAGAATTTTGTCTTTCGAGAAAAAACTTACCCGATCCGAATGTTAGATTAATCGATGATTTTAGATCAAATGTAATACGTGAAGAAAAAGAAAAAAGAAAAAAAAAAGAAGAATGACTATGAAAATTGAAGAAGGTTGACTTTGCCTCCCAAGATATTTGTTACCCTGTGACATTATCACGTTATGTACAAGGGTAGAATTCATTGGTTTTACGGGCTCAAAATATCTCCCCTTTTTTGTTTTCTCCTCAAATATGGCTTGTTTCTTCAATTCTACTTTTTTTTTAAAAAAAAGCTCACATTAAAATTTAAAATTCTTATTATTTTTTGTAAAAATTAAAATTTAATATGGACTATTTTCCTAGAACAAAAAAAATACAATTTTTCTAACCATTTCTCAATGTTTTCCATGTAGTTACTCTAGTACAGTATTCAGTAGAAAACAACAAAAGATTGTTTTGCTTTACATTTTGAAAGACTTTGATCTATAAAATACTGATAAAGAGACGCATCAATTTATAAATATCAATATTTAGAAATCAATTCTTGTTTTGAGACTACTACTAGTCACTGAGTTATATTATTAGAAATTACGATACAGTATCGAAAAATTATGCAATAAAAAACTTGCTAGTAAGATTCTTGAAAATAGTACCGGACATGTTAGAAATTGATTTGTTAAAATCACATTTCTAACATATAAGCGTATGTAATTGAAATCGTACTTTTCATTTCTGTTACAACTATTGACAAATACAGTCACAATTAAAAGTTATTAATACGTGTTTCTGTCTATATATTTTTTTTGCAAAAAAATATTTTAAAACCCAAAAACAAAATAACAATCATTTTATCGTTTCCTTGTGAGAGTGATGTACTACAGAGTAAACTAAGATGAAAAAGCCTGGGAAATGGTTAGGAAACTGTGTGAGATTATTTGAAAAACAAGCCATTTGCGGGCAGAAGGAAAAAAAAAAAAAAACCCAAAAGGAATAGATATTTCGAAACTCTTTACGCCAATAAATTCTAGCCCTTTACGAATAATAACGTGATAATGTCACAAGGTAACAAAAAAAAAAAGCTATTTCAATTCACACACCAGAAGCAATAATAGGTGTAGTACTATTTTGGTACAATATGGAAAAGCCATCTTCTGTTTCTCATATAATTTGATATATGGAAATATCAAAATCTAATCCAACCAATTCAAAGTACTTTGTTTATTAGCTAGACAGCTCATGGTTTGGACTTGCCACTCCTCTTCTCTTTTTATTTATTTATTTTTTTATTTTTGGTTTCTTTTTTCTTTTTTCTTTTCTTTCTTTCTTTTTTTTTTTTTGTAATTTTTCACAAACTAGTATTTAAAAGCACACAACCCCATGTACTGTAAACTATTGAGCTAAGAAGAGAAAAAAAAAAAAAAGAAAAAGCCATAAAAGGGCCTAAATTAAACTATTCTTCCATCATTATTTTGCTCTTCTCTGTTTTTCTTTCCCCTGTTTTTCTTCCTTCCTCTGCATTTCGTTTGCCCTTTTTACTGAGTTTTGCTTGAAGGCTTTCACTTCAAGTTTGCATCTTTCTTTGCACACAGAGACTCTGTAATTGAAGGAGCTCAGAAGTGTTTTATTGGTTTTTTTTGAGAAGTGTGTTTCTGTATTCTCTCTTCATTATTGGACAAGATGAACAAACAAGATTTCTTGAAGACTCAGGTACAGGATTTACTTCTTCCATTCCAGCTTTTTTCTAGTTCTCATGTCTACAGTTCATGTTTTTTTTTTTTTTTGTTTGTTTCCCTTTTTCTTTTTCTTTGGGTTGCTTCAGCTCTACTGCAACTCTGCAACCATGGTTAGATTAGCTTTTGTTTGTATAGCATGTGAAGTTGCTTGTTTCACTTATTTTCTTAATTTGTCCCTAATTAATGAGCAAAAACACCTCTTTTATTCCAAGTTTGATGCTAGTTCAGTGATGAAAGTTAATAAAGATAGCAATTATACCTGGAAAGGTATGATTTTTATTCATGAAGAAGCTGTTTCTTAACAAATTTGAGGGGTTTTCTGTGGAAATTTATGTTGGAATGTTTTTCCGGAGCTAATCTCGACATTTTCTGGTCAATTTTCTCACTTTTTGTTCCTAAATTTCTTGCAGACATGTGTTCTCAGAGTGAATATACATTGTGATGGTTGCAAGCATAAAGTAAGGAAGATATTGCAGAAAATTGATGGTAAATGACTTCTCTCTAATATGCTCAAATTGGTTTTCTTTCAGACAAGTTTAGATGGTGTATGATGGTAAACAAATTTTCCATTATTGCTAACTGTTTTCACTGATTTTAAATGTTGCAGGAGTTTATACTGTTAAAATAGATTCAGACCAGGGGAAAGTGACTGTGACCGGAAATACTGATCCGGCAACACTGATAAAGAAGCTTGACAAGGCCGGTAAACACGCAGAATTATGGGGAGGCCAGAAGGGCGGTGGTGGTGGCGGTGGCGGTGGTGGTGGCTTCAACTTGAACCAGTTCAAGAATATGCAAATTGACAACTTCAAAGCCGGAAAAGACAACAACGCATCTCAGAAGGGTGGAAAGGACAACCACCACCAGCAACAGAAAGGTGGTGGCGGTGGCGGCCAACAAACTGCCCAGCAGCAGATGCAGAACATGATGATGATGATGAAAGGGGCTAAGGATCTAAAAGCCCCGGCCAAGGACCAGAAATCTGTCAAGTTCAGTTTGCCTGACGATGAGGACGATTTCGACGACGATTTAGACGACTTTGATGATGATTTTGATGATGATGATGAGTTTGATGATGAATTTGATGATGAGTTTGACAGTGCTCCTCCGGCGAAGAAGGTACCGGTAATGGGCGGTGGAGGCGGCGGCGGTGGTCACGGAGCTAAGGGAGGAGGTAATGGAATGATGAATGGTTTATTCAAAGGTGTATTCAATAATGGTGGGAATGGGAAGAAAGGTGGTGGGGCAGATACCATTAAGAACAGTAATGATGGCAAGAGTAATGGGAATGGAGGTAAGAATGGTAAAGGTGGAAATCAAAATCAAGGTGGTAAAAATGGAGGTAAAAATAATGGAGGGATGATGCAAGTAGGGGAAGGTAAAAATGGAAAGGGTGCTCAGAATGGAAATGCTGGTGGGAAGAACAGTAATGATAATTGGGGTGGTGGTAAAAATGGAGGAGGTAAAATGAATGCAGGAGGCATGATGATGAACAATTTGCCACAAGGGTTTCATGAGATGGATAGAGGATTAGGTGGAAGAAGTATGGGTGGTGGTGGTGGGGGTGGGATGATGCCTCAAATGGGCGGTTATCCGATGGGCGGTCCGGGCGGGAATATGTCGGCGGTTCAGGGATTACCCGCCGGTGGTGGTGGTGCCGGCGCAATGAATGGCGGTGGATACTATCAAGGTTTGGGACAGGGGAACCCTTACATGAACCAGCAGCAGCAGCAATACATGGCTCAAATGATGATGGCTCAGCAGCAGCAAGCCCATGGCGGTGGCCAGGGAATGTACCACCCTATGATGTATGCCCGGCCGCCGCCTCAGATGTATTACGGCCCTCCGGCTCCGGCCAGTGATAATTATACCCACATCTTTAGTGATGAGAACACTAATAGTTGTAGTATTATGTAAAAAAAGGGAAGATGGACTTGTTTAGTGTCCTGTTTTGTTCTGGATAAGGTAGTAATCTGGTAGGAAGATATCAGTTTGTGTTATATGTTTGTGGCTTTGTAGTAGGTTGAATCAATCAAATCCAAATGTTGTTTAGAAAATAATGTTAGTTTGCTCTCTGCTTTCTCATTTACTTAGAGCTTCTAGTTCCTTTTTTTCCCATTATTAAGTGTGATTGTTTATACTCTTATATGGTGGGTGTCAATAATGTTGTGAGATTTTAGCGGATCCAACAAACACGGAGTTAGTGAATAGTGATAGCTGATAAGGTCAGGCATATGTGGCTTCTTAATGAAAACATAGAAAGTTACTTAAGATGATTAGGAATCGCTCAACTACAATTGACATCAACAGAAAGGATGATTTAAGATCAAGTGTTTGTTGGGGATTTTGCCTCAAGAGTTATGCTCAAACCTCACATTATGTATGTCCTGCATATTTGCTTTGGGGAAGGATTTTGACATATATAGATAGATCCTCCCTTCTTATTTCACTTCTCGAATGTAATTGGTACACAAAAAAATGTGATTAAAGATTATATTGTTAGTAATATATTCATTAATCGATGAATAAGATGGTTTATACACAAAAAGTGAAACAGAATATTTCATTAATTTCACGTTGATGTTCAAGAAATTGCAACTTCACATAATTTGTAAAAAAGAAAGAGGAAAGTTAAAAAAAAAAGGAAAAAGAAAAGAAGAAAGGAAGGATCAAATTATAAGAAACCACAAACCCTCACTTGAATAAAGTTGAGCATGTGTTCCCAAAGTGCTTACATTTTTGCAAGACAATTAAGAAACCCTAAGCACAACAACAATAACATCTTTTGCAAGAATTTTTAGCAGAGGAGGAGGAAGGACAAGACTCCATAAAAGGCGGTGGAGAGAATCACTTGGGAGACAAGCCTCATTCCTCACAATTGACAACTTTCTTGCTTTTTCTTTTTCTTTTTTTTTTTCTCTCTGTTTTGATGTGTGTATTTTGATGAATGATGATGCTTATAAATATAATATATCTCTTTTTATTTACTTAAGACACAAGTAGATAGTTTCCAAGAAGCTGCACCCTCAAAAGTCTTTCCCCAGTTATTTGATTATTATAATCAGTTACTCATTCTGTTCCAAAATTATTGTTCAGTGTGAAATTTCATTTTTAGTACAATTTGAATTAGATATGAAAGCTCAAATGGACAATAATTATGGGACGGAGAGAGTATTTATTTATTCATTTTTATATAATAGAATGAAGCTGTTAACATGGCTTTATCATGCGGTTCCAGGCTTTCAGCTCTGCTTTGCTTATACTAATATTTTTGACCAAATTATTCTTCCATGATTTTGAACTGACACCTGATTTTTTATTTTTATTTTTCCTTTTCTTAATTCTTTAGTTGCTCTTGCTCAGGTTGGATCCATTTGACCTTTAATTTGACTACGAGGAAATCGGTGCCGATAAGAGATTGCACGTGGAACCCTATGCTGGTTTGTAAAAAAATGCTCCACGATCAAGTCAGCAAGTCAAGTGAAATTTAGAGAAGAAAATTAATTTAACTGTTGGTGTGTTACAAAAGATAATGAATAATTTTGCTTTTTCACTTTTCATAATAAAAGTTCTCTCATTGAACGAACAACTAAAACCAAAAAAAGTGAATGAAGGATATGCCTTTACAGGTTGAAGAACTCGGTGTGAAATCATCTTGGACCGACTTAGTTGTGGGCTTTGAAACTGGTCTTCTTACCCTTGGACATAATAAACATTTCTTTAACATTTTCGAGGTTATCTTGGGCCGAAAACCTCCAGCCCCAGTGTAAAGCCCAAAACTAAATTTGTTACATATTTGTACATTTTAAAATGTCTTTTTAGTCTGCTACTTTTTAATTATTTTTTGCTAAGTACGTAGTAATTTATTTTGACGTCTTTTATCCTTTACATGTTGTAATATGTAACTTAGGTTTTGGACCCGTGCACTCGCACGGGTTTGGGCTTTAGTTTCTGAATTGTCTTGAGTTATACAAACGTTAATGGTCCTTTTTAAGACGTAAATGAAGTATAAAGTAATAGATGATGCAAAAATATGTATATTCATTTTTATATATTTCTAGAATTATTTGAATATTTTATGCCTAATGGTGCTTTTTTTTTTTGGTTAAATATTAAATATCTAATCCCGACTCTTTTTTTTCTTAATTTTTTGGGAGACAAATCATTGTTGTAGAATCTTTTACCTATAGGTAGGAACAAAGATTAAGGAAATGAACCTTGAAACTTACGACTAATTATCAAACAACTGCATCACATAAAATTTCCCAACATGCTGCTCAAGATGATTTTAATCAGATATAAGATAAAAAGAAAAGAAAATTAAATGAAACTATTCTCTTTGATGTTGCTTGTTCTTGGAGTTTGCCAGTTCCAATCGATCGAAGAAGAAGACGGGACTAGCAAACCACAAACTATGTTTTACACCCTGCATTTCAAAATTATTTTCTAGTTTAGATTTTTCATTTTTGGTGCATTAAACTAAAAGTGAAAATCCAAATTAGATAATACTTTCCTGACGGAGGGAGTAGAACTTAAACCTAAAATAAACTTTGTTTGAGAAAAACATAAATCCAAAAGGCAAAACAATTAGATTGAATTTGCGGGGATTTTGTAGAGCTTTCTACAATTCGATAAGGATGAGGAGAGGGAGATACTGTCTGAGAGAGTTTTTTTTTTTTTTTTTGGAGGGGGGATGGGGATACTGAATTTATATAGTAAGAGTAAGTTTAACAAGGAGGTTATTTTTGGAAGTTTTTTTCTTTTTTTTTTAATTTTATTTTAATTGGATAAAACGGTATCATAAATTTAATCAAAATATGGATGGAGCAACTTTTAAGGTATAATAATTGAAATATTTGGGAAACATGGATTATAGTGAGAGTGAGTTTGACAAGGAGGTTATTTTCAGAGGGTTTCTTTCATTCTCTTTTTTTTCAATTTTTATTTTAATTGGATGACACGGTATCATAAGTTTTATTGAAAATATGGATGGAGCAACTTTAAGGTTTATAATAATTGGAATATTTAGGAAATATGGATTATAAAAGGGGATAATAATTCCTGTTTTTTTTTTTTTTGAAAAAGATAATACTTCCCTTTTTGTTTTTTCTTTTTTCTTGGGGATTAGGGTGGGAGGATTTTAAGCAAAGAGTGACACTTGAAATTTCAGGAGAATTATGATTTTTGTTATAATGGGGATTATAGAATATAGATAGACTAGATGTTATACCCGTGCAATGCACGAGATTAAATAATAATTTCGTAATAATTTATCGTTATTGTTTTATTATAATCTTACTTTTCTAATTATATTACTTATTGAAATCAAATAAAATGTTACAGAAATAGGTTTGATGTCCAGATATAGTCGGTCAATAGTTCACTTGGTAAAGTTGATTTAAGAACTCAATACATTAAGGTATGGACCTATTAAACAAACTAAATGTTAATACTGAACACCAATATTGTGACGCCTATAAATTTATTATTCTTATTGGATGAACTTTTTAGTCAACAATAAAATATAGACCTAGTTTTTATAAATTTAGCTAAGATCAAAAGTTCTGAGAAGAAAAAAGAAGACAATATTTGTTTATACAAAAAAAAAAAAATAGTAATAAGAATAAATTTATGGCTACTCAACTCCAAAAATTATCTAGCTTCCTATTCTTTTTGTAAACTTAAAGCGGGATATCATTGAATTTCACTAATCTTTAAGGGACAAGAAAATTTAAAAACAATCCAAATTTAGAGAATTTTTACACAATTACAGTAAGTTTTATTTTGAAAATTTATAAGAAAATTACACCTAGAATTTTTGATGATATGGCACTCTAGGGATACATATTGTTTCCTCTCTCTGTTTTCTCTCTTAGAATAGCTTCCTATTCTTTTTGTAAACTTAAAGTGGGATATTAATGAATTTCACTAATCTTTAAAGAACAAGATAATTTAAACAATCCAAATTTTACGCTAAGTTTTATTTTAAAAATTTATAAAAAATTTACACTTAGGATTTTTGATGATATGATACTTTAGGGATAAATATTGTTTCCTCTCTTGGTTTTTCTCTTAAAATATACTATAAATTTCATATCTTTACAAATAAAAATTTAATTATTTATCCTTTAGTTTTGGTTACATATCTTCGTCAGCCATCGAGTTGGCGAGAGATTTATAGACACACATGCTATAGTTACGGGATAAAATTTTACCAAAAAATAAAAAAATAAAAATCAAACATCTAAATGCAAAAAAAAAAAGAAGAAAGAAAATGCAAAGAATGGTTTTTCTTTTCAACAAATTGTTAACGACAAAAGTAAAAACCCATTTGTGATTCTTTCCAAAGTGGATGTTTGTAATCGTAATGAAATAAAGAGTAGTATGATATTTTTATTCAAGTTTCTTGGAAAAATGTATTAGAAGGTTATGCGTCTAAATACAAAATTAGATATCTCTAATGTATGACACATATTCCCCCGCTCCCTCTTCTTTTTTAATAGCTACTTTCCTTCACCGTCTTATTGTCAAAATAGTAAAATGCATCACTTACATGTGTTGTTGACTTTATTAACTCGTTACATATGTTTTCCATTTTCTTATTGATAGTTTGATTTAATAAAGTAGATTTTTAGGACATTTATTTAAGAGACAACAAATGTTCGCCGATTGATCCATGAATTGGAAATGTTTTACCTTTTCAGATAACGTTTTATTGTGATTGTAATCAAATATAATTACTTAGGATATTTTATAAAATACATATTGCTATCATAATTTTGTCAAAAATACACAAAACTAAAAGACGATCGAATACATATATAACGTCTTATCCAAACTAATTCAAAATACATGAACTGTAGCTCCGGCTTTAACGGATTTCCCATCTAGATCAACTCAAAGCTGGCAATCTATTCATGACAAAAATTGTCGATGGTCTTTGACAGGTGCTTCTCTCCGGCCGTTCCACAGCTACTTGTGTACGCGCCTTTTCACCGCTTATCGAATCAGCATCATTCATCCTCACTCTCTTTTTGTATATACTCCCTCTGTCCTAAAATTATTGTCCAGTTTGAGATCTCACTTTTAGTTCAATTTGTACTAAAAATGAAAATACAAACTGGACAATAATTATAGGATGGAGGGAGTACTAAATTGAGTTTAAGCAAACAAAAATCGCAGATAACGTAGATGTGGAGTTTAAGTCATCAAACACAGATACTTCCATTGAGAACAACTCCAAAAAAGAGATTTAAGTCATCAATCTCAGATACTTTCACGGGAAACAAGAATCATGCATCACAATATTGTCTCTATTCGCGCTCTCATTTTCTCGAACTTATCTTTTTTCCCAGAAAATACTCATCCGTTACAAACACTTTTTACTTATACCTTTATAAAAAAAATCATCTCATCATCTTTTTCCATACTGCTCAACAACAATCTCGACAATGGCTTCCAGTTTCAACCTTCATTTTCTTCTCGCATTCTCTACCATCCTAGTTCTCTTTCTTTTCGGCTTCGAAACTGCTGGAACAGTTTCAGCAGTAAATCGAGCTCCTTTCAGCCAATCAGCTACTGTACTTATCTTGCCAGTTCTAAAAGACAACACTACCAGCCTTCACATCGTCAACATTCGTAAGAGAACTCCTTTAACGTCGATCCCATTTGTTGTGGATCTCAATGGTAGGTTCTTGTCAGTCAATTGCGATAAAGACTATTTCTCATCCACCTATAATGCTCCAATTTGCCGTTCAACTCAATGTTCACTTGTCGGAACTCATTTCTGCCAAAAATGTTCTTCTTCCCAAGCTAGGCCCGGTTGCCATAACAACACATGCGCAATCATAACCACCAATCCCTTGAACCGCCAACACGTTGTGGGTGAAATTGCACAAGATGTTGTCGCAATCCAAACCCTTAACTATCAAGCCTCAAATCCAGGCCGTTTTGTGGTTCTTCGCCGCTTCCTTTTTGCTTGTGTACCATCATCCTTCTTACAAGGGCCTTTACCTAAATACGTGCAAGGAATGGCTGGATTTGACCACCACCCGGTGTCTTTACCTAGGCAGATAGCATCTCACTTCGGCTTTCAACCTAAATTCGCCATGTGTCTCTCTTCTATGAACAATCAAAATGGTGTCATCTTCTTCGGGAATGCAACTTATAGAATTACCCCCGAAAATGATTTCTCTCAAGCTTTGCGGTACACACCCTTGTTTATTGGGTCACGTGGAGAATACTTCATACCAGTTAAAGCCATCAGGATAAACCGCAAACAAATCCAGTTCAACACAACTTTACATTCAAAAACCATGAGAACCGGTGGGACGATGATCAGCACCACAAGTCCTTACACGGCCCTCGAACACAACATATTCCAAGTCGTGACGCAGGTTTTTGCGAAGGAATTTTCTGCGATCGGCGCATCTCAGACAAATGCAGTTTCACCATTTGGCGTTTGTTTCAACAAGTTACCTCCTCCGGTGCCAAAAGTTACCATAGGGGCTCCAATTATTGACTTTGTGATGCAAAATCGAGATGTTACTTGGAGTATTTATGGATCAAACTCCATCATTCAAGCACGACCCGGGACATGGTGCTTGGCTTTTGTTAATGGAGGGTATAATCCAAGAGCTTCAATTGTGTTGGGTGCATATCAGCTGGAGGATCACATAGTTGAGTTTGATTTGGCAAGATCTCGCTTTGGATTTACTGAAACCTTGTTGTCTAAATATACTAGGTGCTCCCAGTTCAACTTTAACTCTACTACATAAGTGGTTAGAGAATTGCAGCATCAATAATGATTCAATCCTAATTACTAGGCCATGTATACATTATGCCTAGTTTGTTATATTTATTTCAGTCATCGTTTCTGTAGTTTGATTTGTAGTTTTTTCTATGTTCTTTATTGGTTTATTTTTCTTCATTGGATTTATTTTTATGCTTTGGTTATTTCATGTGTGCCTTTTATTTTTGCATCTTTTTGAATGAACCATGTTAATACATATGGTCATATTCATTCCATCTAATCAAAAATGAAAAGTTTTGCTATTTATTTTAAAAATTCTCAGTATGAAACTTTGGATCTAATTATGTATTTAATATTAGGAACAAAATTATAGAAACTAGAAGAATTAAGAAGAAAATGATAATGCGCAATTCTAATTGCAAAGGTAAATGTCACTTTTCTTCTCTTCTCTTAGGGAGATCCTAGTCACCTTCCTTATCTTTGGACTGTGTATACAAACTTTTTATATGTCAGCTATTTAAATGACAACAAATTATCTTACTCATTAATTTAATTTAATACGTGTAAGTGAAAGTGAGAATTCAAGTAGTATTTACGACCTTCAAATAGACTGAGAAATTTTATTACCAAAATTGACATGTATTTTTCACGACTAGCACAAACTTACTCTTTTAATGTGCTTTACACATGTTCCATCAAGTTCGTATTTTATGTTAATTTTACAATGGCTATCGATATTGCCACTGTAATTTTTAGCCTCCAGAGCATATTTTATTTATTTTTTCCAATTACGCTTATAAAGCCAAACTATTAGTAAGCTCTTTTTCTCTTTCCCATTCCATTATCTGTCATCACAATTATCTTCATAAATCTTACTCGTTTTTTAAGCTATCTCTATCCTCTTGTTGTGTGGTCATAGTTTTTAATCAACTGGATTCAATTACCTGTATCGTGACGCATCTCCTCAGATTGCCGGCCGACATGGTGTTCTGTTTGGGGTCCGTTTTGGAAATTTTATAAAAAATATGCCATGCCATATGTCCTAGTGTGAATATGATGGGTTGCATATCAGGGGCGGAGCCAAGCCCCGAACATTAGGTGGGGCAAAAAAATATAACTTTCTAAAAAATGTTCATTATTAAAAAAGAATAACTCTATATATAATAAATTTTAAATTAAATTATAAATTATTAACAACATAATTTACCATATAAATTATTTTCATGAGATGGAGGACATGATAAAGTTCATAAAAAATTTCTTTACGACAACTCATATGTTTTTTCACAAATAATTACAAACTCACAACAACATATGAAGTAAGGTTTTTTAATATATATAAGAAAAGGGCTAGATTATCAATACACACAAAAAAAAAAGAAGAAGAAAGCATATAGATCCAGAGCAAATAGAATGGAAATTCTTTTTTTCCCATTTGTTCGAACCCTTAAGTGAAGAAAATGAGTAAAGGATGCATGTAAAAAAAGATTTTAAAAAATTTAAGAAATCAATTTTGAAGTTAAATTTGGAATATTTATTTGCTTTAAAGTGTAATTGACCATTAATTAATACATGTAAAGAAAATTAACTCTCTATTAAGAATTTTTATCCCTCAAAATAAACATTACTTTGTAATTTTTGTTTATGCCCCTTATCTTTTGAATTTTTACTGGGACAAAAATGAAGAATATTAACAAATTTGTGTAAATTTAGGTGCACATTAAGAGTAATTGGGAAAAATTCAGTTGGGGCAATTGCCCCATCTCCCTTGTACTTGGCTCCGCCCCTGTTGCAGATTGAAAATTGATTGTTCATTAGATCAAGTTTTGTCAATGCTACATGTTTAAATCGGAAATAGCCCTTTGAACTTTGAAAGGCAAGATTCAATGTACTGAAGAAAATTAAAATATGATAAAAAAAAATCAATTTTTTGCAGATCCAAATTCAATAGAAAAAAAAAAACCCCAAATGGATCTTGAATTTGGGCACTTGAATGGAGACCCAAAAAGAAATAAAATAAAATAAATTAAAGAAGTTGGAGAAGTATAGAATGGAAGAAAGCATAAAGTTGCTACCTAACATTCAGTTTTTACCATTTTTTTTTTAAAAATCCACCTTAGTGGTCCCACTTAAATGTGGGCAAAATTCCCTTTACAATTTCTGGCGTGAATCGAATCCTGGTCTATAATCAGGAAGGTTAGTAACCTAACCACTAGACTGTTATTCAATTCCCACAATTTCTTTTGTTTAATCCTTTGCAAAAGGAAGGAAGGATCGCCTACCGAACCATAGATAAGATAGACATGACCGAGATGGGTGAGGGTCTCTTGTGACAATATTATGTGCCACACCCTATATCACTTGATAGAAAGCTGTCACATGTCCACTTAACTTAACCCATTGTATCATCAAATATTACCTTAACTTTTTAACACTAACTATGGTTAACCTAAAAAGGTAAAGAAGAAAGAGATCGACTCGTTGAAAAAGCAAATCGGGAGCCACCATGGCTAACCACTAGGCTGTTATCTAATTCTCACAATTTATTTTGTTTAATCCTTTGCAAAAGGAAGGAAGGATTCCCTACCGAACCATAGATAAGATAGACATGACCGAGATGGATGAGGGTCTCCTGTGACAACATTATGTACCACACCCTCTATCACTTGATAGAAAGCTGCCACGTGTCCACTTAACTTAACCCATTGTATCATCAAATATTACCTTAACTTTTTAACACTAACTATAGTTAACCTAAAAAAGTAAAGATGAAAGAGATTGACTCACTGAAAAAGCAAATCGGGAGCCACCATTACCGTCTATCTGCTCAATTCTCTCTCTGAAGGTTATACGAATTTGGTTTGAAGATGAATATGAACCTCCTACTATTATGTTCTCTTGCATCTTCTTTAAGGAATAATTTAACGGGAATTTTTTCTTCCTATTTCTACTCCAATTTTTGCAGTTGATTCTTACCAACCTTTGGAGACCGATGGCTCTGTCCATTTGATATGAAATGGAAAATTGGGGCTCTCTAAGATCGATGATAAGGATGATTTGTCCAAATTTCCAAAAGCAAGTGAACACTTTTTTGTAGTGTTGTCAGATTTGGCTCGGAGGTCGACTTGGAAGAGTTAGGGGTCAGGCGACTCGAGGATCGATTCGTCTCGACTCAGGGGTCAATTCGGATGATGTCATTATTAATAAATAATAATATTTAGTTATTTAACAAAATTTAAAATTAATTAAAACATATATTTTATATCAAATTTCCAATTAGAATAGTTCATATCGATATTTTATTGTATTAATTACAATTTTTGTGAATTAAATAAGTATATTAATAAAATAAATTACAATAAATAAATTATTATTTTAAAAAAATTATCTAATTTGCAATATAATTGGCTTTAAAATTATGAAAAATCTAATGTAAAATCAATTTCAACATATCTGAGTTATAATTTAAATTTTTTTTAAATGATGGGAGTTAGTTTGTATAATAAAACAATAAAAAAATTTAAAATGGTGTATTTAGTATTTGAAAGTAAAAATTAGGGACTAAAATCATATATTAATACTTTAAACAAAACAAACATTATAAGTTATGGGTTATTTTTTAATAAAAAGAAAAGCTGACTTTGGAAATAGTAAACATTTAAGGGGGGAGAAGTGTAAATTTTGGTCAAAAAGTCAAGATATTAAAAACTCCAGATCGACCCGAGTCAGACCGATTCCCGGTTCGCCCGGAGTTTTGACCGGGTCTTTAAATACCGAAATTATCTCTTGCTCGGCTCGGCCTGTGGTCCGATTCCCGGTTAAACCAGTTCGACTGGCTGAGCCCAGCTTTACAACGTTGCTTTTTTATGTATTCATATTTTTAATTGCCCATTCGAGAAGATAAAAAAGATGATTTGTCCAGAGTTTTAATTGTTCATATGGATGAGAAAGATGATTTCCCCAGAAAGTTTTAATTTACTACTTTTATATTGGAAAAGTTTATCACTACAAATTTGCTTCTTCTGAGATGAGAGAAAAAAAATCCCTTACTGGCATTTGTTTTCGTAATTTGTTTGTTTTCATCCTTTACGATCGAGTTAACAGTAAAAAAAAACTGAATTAACTGTGGTCAATATCAAAAGAGAACTTTAAAGTGTGGTTTAAAAAGTACACGTGTCAATCTGTTATGAAATGTAATAGGAAATAACACAATTTTATGTTGTAGGAAATCCTCACCCGTAAGGGATAGTAGGGTTGGAGTTCCACGGAATAAGGGTAATTTTGAAAAGTCATGTTAGAAATGCCCTGTATGCTAAATTTCGTGCTGACAATATCGCTAGTATTCTACAAGATAGTAGTCTAATCTAATGTATACGGGAGACAATTAAAGTTATTTAAACCACACCAGAGTAAATTCAGAATTGTGTAAACTATGGTGGTGTAATGTATTTTACCCTTAATATATTTAAAACACACATACAAAATCTTTTTTTCTTTTTTACCATCGGAGCTCAAAATCATTTTTTTATTATTTTAATCAAAACCAGTCTACAAATTTCAACTATTCGAGTTTAGACAATAAAACCAATATTTTTTGAACACGATGATACGTTTTATTTTAAAATAAATTGATATGTTCGCATTTTTTTAATAAATAATTTGGAGTTGCTAAAATGTTGGTATTTTTTGTGGTGTAAAAAAGGAGGGAAGAACGGGTGGGGTTCTGCAAGCCTTATGGTTACAAAAGTTATAAATACGGAGGGTAAAAAAATCAGACTTTGAATTTTGAATTTTGAACAAAATAATATTTTGATTTTTTTGAGTAATATAATTTATTTAATAACATTTTATTAATTTCATAAAATAAATAAATATATTTATTACCAAAATGACCCTATTTATAAATAAATATATATTTGTTCAATTCCTACAATGAAATATGTAAGAGGTCTTACACACATTTAAGTGGAATTCACTGGAGTGGATTTTTTTTTTTAAAAAAAATTAATGTACAAAATTGTAAAAAGACACCACTAAAAAAGTTTTCTTCACTAAAATACAATCGCCGTCTTTAGCATTCCAAAACATTTTTTTTTTTTGAAGTAATCAAGTAACGCCATCATAGATGAAATAAAATAACTAGTATTTACTTTAGTTAGAAACTCAACGAACTAATTATGTTGCTAAGCAAATATTCAATTCATCATGGGCTTCAATCATAAAAATCTTAATCAATAGATGAATTTTCAAATATTACCGGACACATAATTGTTCATGAAAATATGACATTTTCGTAGAAATATCATAATCAACATTAAAGCAATTTAAACCGCATCTCTTTTACCCTATTAAAGCAGAAAACAGGATGTTAATGTGGCAATTTCTTATTAAAATATTTTGGCTCCAAATGCACCATATTGCATAAACTATTCTGCCACGTGTCACCCCCTTTTAAAAATAAAAAAGATATTTACAATATTAACGAAGAGATCAGATGGCCATGTTCATTCAAATTTTGAATTTGACAGTGAATGGAACTTTCCTTCTCCACTTATTTATGACTTTCGAAAAAATTAATTTTCAGTCAATCAATTATCTTCATAAAAAACTAAATTCATTCCTAATCAGTTTTGATTATTTACATATCAATTTATTAGGCGGGAGGACGTCCCCGAACATTTGCCTGGGGCAAGCATCTAGTTAAGTATTATTAAAGCTAGCAAAAGAAGAAAATGGAAAAATAAAGGAGATAAGAGAAACTTTTACTAAAGAGATGTTGTATAAAATTATATATTTTTACTTTTTTTTTTCATTTTGAGTTCGCTTTAATTGTAAGTTTATTAAATTTATTTGTAAAAATTTTTGAAATTACGCTACCAAGTTATTATAAATTTTAGGGGAAAAGTCATTTTATGTACCCTAAAAATAAGGGGTCTTCAAATTATGTGCTCGAAGAATTGGTCTCCCCAAATAATGTACCTTGTGTTTGAATTTTGTTGTTTTAAGTACCTTTTAAGGGCAAAATGGGAAACTAACAAATTTTTGTCCTAACCTACTTCGTTTTTGCCTCCAAACTTCTGGAAAAGAGCAAATTACACCATAAATTTTATGGATTTTACACAAATCCATCTTTCAGTCAGATTTCAGCAAATTACATCTAGATTTTTGGTCCAAAATTTCCCATGACTTTCAGTGTTTATTGTTTTTGACGTACATATTGCTTTTATCATAACAAGTTTTTCTTCATTATTAGTTTTATTTATATTTTGATATGTCATTTTGCATGATTATTTTTTTAAAAATATTTTTTTAGTCTTTTTTTTTTGTACTTTTTGTTCAAGTTCGTGGAACTTTGATGCATTTCTAGAAATATATACTTATTTTTTTAGATTTTATTTTTATTTACCTAAAATATAAGGAAAAATAAGCTAAAATAATAAAAATACACTCGTATTCTTTTTAATGTACATATTTTTTTATTTTATCTATTTTTTTCTTATTATAAGTTATATTTATATTTTAGACAAAATCTAAAGAAATTATGTGTTACTAGAAATGCATCAAAGTGCAAAAAACTTGATCAAAAGATTATTAATTAAAAGAAAAGGATCGAATTAAAAGAATATTTTTAAAATAATCATACAAAACGACGAATAAAAATATAAATAAAACTACTAATAGAGAAAAACGCTTTATAATACAAAAATATGTACGTCAAATATAATAAGCACCGGAATTCGTAGGAAATTTTTAACCAAAAATCTAGGTACAATTTTCTGAAATCTTACTAAAAGATAAATTTTTGTAAACAATCAATAAAATTAATGTTTTACCCTTTAAAGTGTATAATATCTTGAATATAGAATATAAAATATATATAAAAAAATATGAATACAATTCACACAAGAATTATATAAATATTATTAAATCACTAAATACGAACACACACAAGAATTATTAAATCACTAAATCGAGCACAAACTTTATTATATAAATATTTCGACAGTAAAGCTCGGCTCACATGTAATCATAATTTTATAATTGTATACAATACATTTAACACAATCCGTGCAATGTCTGACGATAATCCTGTAAAGGATCACTTGGATTATTTACTGTCATTGAAAATGTGGTTTTATAGTGGTAGAAAAGATATATCCAACAAATGTAAAGAAGTAGATGATAATTAATCTATCCACGAAAAATTTATTCAATTTTAGAAATTAAGATATTAAAAATAATTAAAATTAGACCTATGAAATTTATGTCACTTCAATAGAGAGTAATATCTATAATTTTCTTATTTTAGTTTTGATATCGACTAACTACGAATCTAATGTGGTTTTTACAAAGAAAGGAAAAAAGATTACTAGATTTAATTCCAAACCGTTGACCATCATCAAGTGCTAATGTCAGAATCACAGTACATACTAATATATTTGTATGGTCAAACTAATGATGCCCATCTCAGAGTAAAGCTAATTGTGAATTGCAACAGAGTGTATTGAAACCAAATGAAGAAGAAGAAGGATCCGTGAATGTATTGTTTACAAATAAAATAATTCCTCACTCAATTTCCGTCAAATCGCGTTGATCGTCTAGATTCGAATCGATCAATCATTCAGTGCATCGAAATCGAATCAACACGCACACATAGAAAAGGGGAGAAAAAAGAGTAAGAAGGCCCTTTTCCTGCAATAGTTCTTGCTGGAATGGCATGGAATTCCTCTTCCGCCTCAGACAATCGAATTCCTTCAAGAAAACAGCGATCTTGCTGACGATTTTTGCCACTCTGCTCTTCTTCCTCTTCCAAATCCCATCATCTCACTTAGAATTGCAAAATGCCAAGAAGAATCCTTCCATAGCCTCTCCTCTATTGTTGTTTCCTCACAGATTACTTTCCACCACTGTAAAGACTCCTCCTTTATGCTCGTACTCCAATCTAACTGATTCCGATGGCCTTTTCAATTACTTCTCCTTCCATTTTTGCCTTTTCCAAGAAAACCCTTTTCTTTCCATCCCCGCTCTTACTCTCTTTGTCCTCCTGCAGTTCTATATCCTTGTTAAAACAGCCCAGGATAGGTTCTCTGTGGTGGTCACAAAGCTCTGTGCTCACTTGAAGCTCACTCCTTCTATGGGAGCGGTGACCCTTTTGGCTTTGGGGAATGGGGCACCTGATGTTTTCGCGTCGGTGGCTGCTGTTAGGGGTGGGCAGCCAAGAACTGGTTTTGGGGCGATTCTTTCAGCTGGGACATTTGTCTCTGCATTTGTTGTCGGGTTTGTGGCCATTTATGCTGCTCCGTTTTCGCTTGATCCTGCACCGTTTATACGGGATGTGCTGTTTTACCTTACTGCTGCATTGTTCCTGTTTTATGTATACTTGAGTGCTGAGATTTTTTTGTGGCAGGCACTTGGGTTTGTTGGGTTTTATTTGTTTTTTGTTGGCATTGTGTTTTGGATGGATATAGGGATTAGTGATGGGAAGGTGAAAAGGAGGGGCATTGGTGGTGGTGAGAGTTGGAGTGAGATCGGGCTGATTGGGAACCCAGAGGAGCAAAGGGGGTTTATGGAGATGGATTGTGAAAGTGGAGAACCTTCAGGGGAGTTGGAATACGGGAGAAAGCAGAAGGTTGGATTTTGGCAAACTCTTGGAAAGGTAATATTCGGTAGCTTTTAGATGGCAAAGTATTAGTTCACATTTATTGCATGATCTTCGTTATCTGTTTAAGTTCCCTTGTTGTTTATAAACAAGATTGTTTTTCAGCCTTTATTATTACCAAAGGTTGAGCTCCCAGCCAGCATATGCTTTACAATTTGCATAATCTAGCATACATTTTACAGATAATGTTGGGTTTCTACTATGTGCATTAGTGAAAATTCAGGATACTAGAAATGAAAATGTTGAGTATGCCTAACCCATACTTACAAACACTATTGCTCTTAACCTTTGAAAGCTGTGCTAAAACTTAAGTGACACTTTACAGATTATGCTGGGATACTAACAACAAGCATTATTGAAAGAGAGTAGAAATGGAATGTTGAGATGGATGTGAGTAGTAGATTAAATAATGAATGCATAAGAAACAAAGGTCCATTAAATGTAAATGGAGAGAAACATAGCTGTGGTGGTCTATAATTATGCATAGGAGACCATTGGTAGCATTGATGCTCCAATGGCTGGATAGTGGATCTTTAATTCGAATATAAAGGGAATTGGAAAGTGGGATAAGATTGGAACAGAACAGTCACAAAAGACACGAAACAGAACCTAAATGAGAACAGGCATCGTGACAACCTGATGGCATGTTTTAATTCGTGTAGCAGACTGATATACTAGGATAAGGTTTTTGTTGTTAAAATCTTGATAGAGGGAAATTTGATGAAGTTTGGAAATTCTTTGTCAAGTGAATATACCAACCATCATGATTGACAAGCTCATTCTTCGATGAAATTGGTCTCAAATGCACTGAATAGCTGTTAATTTTGTTTTCTATTCGGAAGAGGGTTCTGGTGAAAGAATCTGATGTATCCACATGATTTGAAATAATGGCTGAGGAATAATTTGGTGCTCAAAGTGAGATTATATGCCAGAATGGATGACAATCAATTCTGGTTATATTTCTTCTTGTATTGATGACTAAACAGCAAATATGTTTGAATTCATTGGGGGAAAAGGATAAAATAAAATCATTAACTGATTCTAAGCATTTTCCTTCTTAGATTCTGGGAATTTGATGTGGAAGTGATGTGGAAGAAAAGGAAACAAAGTAATATTGATTACAAAATGGAAGCTGATTAGTTAGTTGTCGGCCTACCAAAATGAATACAGATGCATGATCTATGAAGCCAGAGTTAGCACCAAAGTAGTTTGTTCTGCTTTATTGGAATATTGCCAATAAATAAGCATGCTTTATCAAACCATAAGGCATACAAAAGCGGTTCAAAGGTCGAATTTGAATGATGGAATTCCTACTTGAGTGACCTGTGTGCTTTAATGTGTCTTTTGAGTGAGATTGAATGTGTTGTGGGCCCATGTGTAGTAGCAATTCCTGCTGACGTGTGAGCTTTGATCACAATATGAGTTCTGTTGGTGCAGATACATACATGGTTTTCACATGTTTTGTCGTTGCTAAAAGTAAATGTTTATAAAAAATTATGAATGGTTAAACATGTGCATATGGTGAAATCTCTGAGATAAGGAGCCAACAGATTGGAATCAAAGTGCCATATCCTTCTTGTTTGTTGGAATTCCTGATACTCAGTCTAGATGGGTTACAAAGTTGGACTCAAAAAAGGGTTGAGCTTTAGTAGCGAAGGAAATCTTTGTGGGACGTCTGGGTTAGGAGGCATTGAGGTAGTGGTCAAGGAGTTAGGGATTCTGGGTTTGTATTTTTAGTCATCGAGTCTTATGGACTTTCAAGAAAAAAGAAGACTCAAATGCTTGATATTCTTAAAGGTGAAAAAGGGTCAGTAACCTGCTGATATACCATCTAAGAGGTGATTATGTTCGGTTTTTGTTTCCATAGTAAGACGTGGAAATTAAGATATTGATTGTTTTTCCATCGATCAGAGCAATTTATAACTACAGCACGTCCAAATACATTGTAATAACAGAAGAAAGTGGCAACTACATGCAAAATAACCTTCTCTTTCATCTGTGATTATTGTCTTCTTACTTTGACTTGCGTGGAACATAGGAAATAAACTTACCTTTCCATTAGGAGAATCGGCTTGTTAGTGGAGGTAAAAAGGGAAGCAATCTTGTTTGCAAGGGTAGTTGACTGCTGAGTATAAGGTAACCAGAAAGGGCTTGTAGTTGGGCAAAAGATTCATTACATGCTCTTGGCAATGAATTGGGTACTTGTTCAGGATTCTCCCCTGAAAATAAGTGAAATAGCTCTGCGACATGCATTATGAGATGAAAAATGTAGTCCATTGGAGAAACTTCACTAGTTATCTGAAAATGGATGACAAAGTACAGGTTAATGAAAAGTTTGTTTCATTGTGGTAAGCCCTTACCTGGAGTAGATAGACTTGCATAATATGCAGGGCTAGCTTAACTACACCTGCATAAATTAGAAAAAGCACCTGTTCCATGTAAGAATTCTTGCTGATTATGTGTATGTCTCCATTTCATTAACTGCTCTGTTGGACTATAGTCATTTAGGAAATAAGGAGGGATTGTATGGATTTGATATAATAACTAGGTGGACACCAGGACTAGGGGCGGGCATTCCAGAACTATATTGTAATGCGTATGATAAACCATTGGCAAGATCACTGGAACTGGATGCTGCGTACATCTTGGCAAGAATTCTTTAAAGTTTACAATTCGTTCGTGTAACAGCACTAAAAAAATGCTATATACTGTCATTCATGTCGAAGGCATTTGCAGCCCTCATGCTTAACAGTTAAAATTGTGAAAAGATCCCCGGGCCACTTGGCACCAAGTACCATTTATAGTTATTGCTTCTATAGATAGCCTTCCTCTGCCAGCAATCCATAAGTAGCCATACAAAATATAAAACAGTAAAATGTAACTTTTAATTAAGACTAATTAATCAAGCAGTGATTCCAATTAGTCAAGCCTTAAGCTCCGTGGGACTAGCGTCTAGCTATACAGACGGTTTTTTCTCTTTTTTTTCATAGAAAAGACTGATTACCATTAACATCACCAAGATGTACGCAGCATCCAGTTCCAGTGATCTTGCCAATGGCGGTATATAGCATTTTTTTAGTGCTGTTACACGAACGAATTGTAAACTTTAAAGAATTCCTTTGGCTCTTGTATCCGTAAAGGTGAAGGAAGCCATGTGGACAGGCTTGGTTGGAGAAAAGTTCCATAAGACCAGTGTGATTCTAAATGTATCTTTGAGTGGAGTGTTTCTAGAATTATGCTGGAGTTGAATTAGTTTGACATAACATACAGTGAGGGGGGTCTAGTAGGGTGTTTTAATTGTTTCCTGGAAAATCTATGTTTTTGATAATCAACCAGACATTTCTAACCTTACTATCAGTTACTGCATTAGAAAGGAGCAAAAATGTTCCATGCTATCCGTTGTTATTGAGGAATTAGATTAGTCATGGCATTAGTGGAAGACTTGATATTGGGGTTGATTGTTACATAAGCTAAAAAAATAGCCTGTATTTTACTCAGGGATTTCCACTATCCATGGCTAAATAAAATTAGCATTTGCAATTGTGGAGTTCTTGTGATGGAAACAGTGTGGAAAAAGCTTTGCTTATTATCAAATATCAATGTTTGTGTTTCTATTGTTTGTGGGGTTTTTCTAACATCAAACTCCTTTGAAAATGGTTTTTCTATTTATTTCTTTTGGTAGGATGTGATTTCAGTGACTGTGTTATAGAGCAAGTATTCTGGTACAACTAATGGAATTGCCTGTATTTTGCTTATTCTTGTAACTGATCTAGGATCCATAATTTCTTTTTTATGGCTGACGTTTTTGTTATTGTACAGATCTCAAAAGTGTGGGAGGTTCCGATCTCAGTGCTTCTGAAGCTTACAATCCCACAAACATCACCTGCAGAATGGAGCAGATTCTATCAATCTGCAAATATTGCTCTTTGTCCTTTAGCCCTTCTATATTCTTGCAGATCATTCATGCCTTTAGATCATCCAATTCTTTTTATTTTTTCGCGGATCAATTTGCCTCTTTGGTTAGTAGTATTACTCGGAAGCAGCTCTCTTGCGATTCTGCATTTCACAGTCGAGAAAGAGCCTCCCAAAAGCGAGCAAGTCCCAGTAATACTTGTTGCATTTGTGATGAGTGTATTCTGGATCTCAACAGTGGCAGGGGAGCTCCTGAACTGCCTCGCAGCTCTCGGGTTGCTTCTGAAATTACCACCCGCACTCCTAGGTATGACGGTTCTGGCCTGGGGAAACTCCATCGGTGACCTAGTTGCCGATGTGGCACTCGCAAAAGCCGGCCAGCCCGCCATGGCCATGGCCGGTTGCTTCGCCTGTCCCATGTTTAACATGCTTTTCGGGCTCGGAACAGCGCTGGTGATACAATCAGCCAGTGTGTTTCCAGAAGCCTATGAGCTGCGGTTCCACATTAGCATAGTCACGGCATTTGTGTTCTTGATTTCAAGCTTGATGGGATCAATGCTGGTTGTAACATGGAATAGATTCCGGGTTCCAAGATTTTGGGGATTCTTCCTAGTCGGGCTATACGTTGTTTTCATGGTAGTAAGCCTGATCATAGCCAAATACTCTGTATAACTAGTGTTCAATTTATACAACACAGAAGTACTTTATATAGGAAAAAAGAGCTCATTCTTGTCTTGAACCTTTCAACTGTAGAAAGTGATCTTGAAATTTTATAATTGCCATATGATTTTTCTTTTCCCCGAAATAGAGACATATAATATCTAGTATAATTTCTGTTTTTAGGTTTAAAATCTATTTTGGCCTAAAAAATGATGAAGAAATGACAAGTGAATGGCCATAAAAGGCCAAGAAAAGAGAGATGGGGTCCTCCAGATTCCAGAATCAAACACCCAACAAAACTCTCTCTCACTCACTCACTCACACATTCGTATATCCTAAGAACCAGACAATCATTTGGATCTGTCAGTCATGTAAACAAAAACCTACGACAATCTCGAAACCAGACTACCTGAGATCTTCCGTACAGGGGATATATAAGTATATTTGTTTCTGCGCGTACATACACGTGCCACCCCCTACCATTTTTCTTTCCAGCAATTTCTTCTCCATTTTTGGTAACTGAGGTTCCTCTGTTTCCCATCTGATTTCTGCAGGTCCAGAAGGTAGTAGAATCTCCATTGTTAAAATAAGGTATACACCCTTTTATCTTCCCTTCTTCTTTGATCTCTCTTTTTTTTTCGTTTTTGTTGTTGCTATGAATGATTGTCATTTGATTGGATCAGTAATGGGCATCTCTAAAGCTTTGTTTTTTAATATTTCATATGATGCTTTTTTATTTGATGATTTTCCTGACGAGATTTGAATGTAGTTGTAATCGCAATCCCACGATTCTTACCATCTCGCCCAACCCTCGTAACATGATAGTTGTTATGTGCCATTGAAACATGATTTTGGTTAAAAAGATTGCTTTCTGAAAAATCAAAAAAAAAAAAATATGATGAGTCTTCACAATATGTGATCTCTTAAGCACTTGATCATCGATTTCTCGTGAACTTTGTGTCTCTCTCTTTTCCCATTCTTGGTAGGAATAGGACACACGAGCAAAACATGGATCATTGTATAACTTTTTCTCTGTTTCCATTTGGCTAAGGCCATTGAACCTGAAATGTCATCATTATTATCTTGTGTTTTGAAAAAATCAGTTTTGGTAATTCATATGTGTATGTGTGTGTGTGTGTTTTGCTTCTTCTCTCCAGGGAAACATAACACAATGGATCAACAAGAACACAACCAACCACCCAATCTCAATTCCATGGTTAACAGCATGCCGCAGCTGTCGTATCCACCGAATGCTTACGACGCGAGGCAGATGGCTGGAAATCCTCCCGGTCAGGCGCCATTGATGGCGGCTGCGCAGGCCTCGAGTCAAGCCACCGGAGGAGTTCAGCTCGGCGATCAGCAACAACGCGCTTACCAGCAGATGCAGCAGCAGCAGCAGCAACAGGAGTTGCAGCAAACGCTTCAATCCTTTTGGGCAAACCAGCGTCACGATGTCGAGAAAATCAACGAGTTCAAGAACCACAGCCTTCCTTTAGCAAGGATCAAGAAGATCATGAAGGCTGATGAAGATGTGAGGATGATATCGGCCGAGGCCCCCATAGTTTTTGCCAGGGCATGTGAGATGTTCATCTTGGAACTGACTCTCAGAGCTTGGAATCACACTGAGGAAAACAAAAGGAGGACTCTTCAGAAGAATGACATTGCAGCAGCAATTGCAAGAACTGATATATTTGACTTCTTGGTTGATATTATCCCCAGGGAAGAGCTGAAAGATGAGGGCATGTTATCAGTCCCAAGGAATTCATTACCAATGGGAGGACCATCTTCTGACTCTCTACCTTACTACTATCCAGTGAATTCTCAGCAGTTAGCACAGCAGCAGGCTAGAACTCCTCCCGGGATGACTCCGAATGGGCCGGTAATCGATCCTACTCTGTACGCACAGCCTCCTTTCCCTTACATGGCTCCCCAGTTATGGTCAGATGCACCTCAGCAACCTCAATCTCCTTCAGATTCTTGATGAATGAATAAAATGTATTTGTCGTTTGAAGTATTTTGAGCTCACTACAATTTGTGGTTCCTTTCTATTTCACCCACTTAATAAGTTTTTCAATATACTAACCTGATGTAGAGTATTATACATGTCAATGCTACTTTGAACTCTGAACTAAATTCCGAAGTATAATGTTTTATCTTGCAAGCAATCCTTCATTAGGCTTTAAATATTTGTACATTCCATTAAGGTGATTTCTAGTACCCTATGAATGTTTGCAGATGTAGATTGGAGACTGGTTGATGTGAGAGACTTTTTCCAGAAATGTTTGAAAAAAGTTGGGAGGATATATACAGAACGGGTTAAAGCATAAACTAAGGTTTCTACCATAATCTAAATCTATGCAAGTTTCATCACAACACCTTCTAAAATTCCATCAGTACCAAAGTTACCAGAAAAGTTATAGGGGTCAACTGGACCGGGGAGGTGGAAGGAAATGGAGAAATGTCCTGACGGGCAAAGATTCTGAGATTGCATCTGGAACGCCTGTGAGTACCTGTAGACTGTTTTTTCACCCGTGGTTGTCACCCCACTTATTATAACTTTACCATCATTTTCAACTTCACAGCTGAATTCTCCTGCAAACATGACGCGGGGTGACAGAAATTAATAAACCTAAACAGTCAAAAGGTACAATGGGAAATGAAATTGGACACGATGATATTGTGTACAATGAACAGTGCGAGAGGGAATTTGCTCATAAAATAGATCATACACATAGGTGAAGTCTACAAAACAAAGAAAAAAAGAAGTTTCAGATGAAAAAGAAACGACTACAAAACAAGGGTGTTTGAGGGTAAAATGAGGGTGAGCATTTTCTAGATTACAACCAGAGTAATTCCTGATATCTGTGTGCAGATAGTTTTTGCTTAAAGAAATCTGCAGGCTGAAATTTTGCTTACTTTCATTCCTCTTTACTCCAGGAAGTGAAACGCGGAACAGATAGGAATCTTTGTTCTCCCCAATATCTACTAGCCCAAGAACAGGTCCTACATTTCCAATGGCTGCAGTCCCGGTAAGAGCAAACCCACCAGAGGCTACAACGATGTTGTTCCATACCTTCCTAGGGGGACAAGAAGGAAGAAATATCATTCTTGGCTCAGGAGAATCTGGAGAGCTTGTATTTGTTGGTAAGGAAATTGTGCCATTGGACATTTGAGAAGTTGTGATGACAGGGTTGCTAAAAGTCACAATATCAAGCTGCCTGTCTCCTCCTGAAGATGCACCACAATAAGGTACAATATCCAAACTCTGCTGAGAGTGATGGTGCACAAGATCTTCAGAGTTACTGTTGTCTTGTAGTGGCACATCATATAGGGTCAGGCCATCCCCTCTAAATCCGTCAAGACATAAATCTTCTAGGCCCGTTAGCCTCCTGAACCTCTCAATATCTCCTGGACTGACACAAGAGAAGTCTGGGTTATGGATGAGCACAACATTCTCGACTGCTTCACAGCGAGTTTGAGATTGTACTCGAGGATGCAGATTGGGAGGAAAGAGACCATCAAACTGAGGGTAACTTCTAGTTTGATCTCCCAGCCCCCGAGGACTAGGAAGATTTCCTAGAAAGAACTGGTGCAACTCAACGGATTCTAGAATAACAAATTTATTTGCCTTCTTTAACACATGGTAGTATACCCTTACCACTATTTCGATATCCATACAGGAACCAGCTAATTGATCCATTGTGTATAGTGGAAGACCCTCACCCCAACGTTGTAAAACAGATTTACGGGGTCCTTCCCTCAGATGAGGACCAAAGTACAATCCTGTAATGAAGTATAAGAGGAAACGCTGATTTGATGTTGGTGCCAAACCAGATGATGAATTATCCATATCTTATCTCCGCTCAACTGCAACAGGCAATGCTGATTCTCTCGATCTGTATTTCCAAATTCTACATCAACAAATATCCCCTCACTGAACTACCTAGACAAGCCAGAGTTATGTTCTCAGGGCACTAATTCTAAACAGATCCTGCAGGAATTGAAACATGGTTAGTACCCGAATGGTTAGAATATACAAGAATAAAAAACTTAAAGAAGTTCAATTTCAAAGAAGGACTAGTTGCCTAGATAGAACCATCATCATGTAATGGACATGACCCTAAAAAATTAGACAGAATAAGGTATGAGTATTGGGTGGGGGGATGACAATTATGAGGTGCTGGAACCTAGGGAAATGTATTCCCCCCAAGAAAGTTTAAAAGACTGGACACAACAAAAAAGACTCCCAGTTAACCCATGAATCTCTATGACTCTATCCCATCATTTAAATCCATCCTTTTGAAAACTTTTGACAGACTTCTGACATTCTCCAAAGAAACGAAAGCGACTCGACGATTAAGTTTTTCAGAAGTTAACTAACCTAGACCAAGATAATGGTATGCAAACCAAATTTGTTTTCTTTCTAGGATTACTGAATAAGATGCATCATTCCCGCCTATCCTAAACAACCATCAACGACTTCTTTCAGGAGAACAGAGTTGCGAGGAGCACACCTAACCTAATCGCAACATTTGGCAAAATGCAAGCTACATAAACTTTGAAGCAGAATTAAGACCTCCCAGATACCATCAAAAGAAAAACAAAAAAAACCAACCTCCGGGATAACTATACTTGTGTCAATAATTGATGCATCAAATTCTATGCTTCTAAACCAGGATTAATTCTAGCCACAAATCATACTTTCTTACTCACTTTAAAGTGAGTAGGAGACTAAAGGAAATTAGGCTCTTAACCAGCAAAGTAGCTCAATTCCACCAAGCAACTTAAGATCAATGCAGATTGAGGATGTAAGTTATAGAATAATAAACTTGCAGCTACCATAGTTTCTGCACTACTTGAAGAATGTACTCAACTATCCAAATTCTTCCACAATGTCACTGAATCAGAGATGTTAACTGCAAGTTATATTAAGCTTTCTTAAACGTCTCAATTCTATGGTTCTTCCCTTTTAAGATAAGATCTTCACTAAAAATGGTTTCTTTCTGACCAATTCATACTTTGCAAACTCATTCATCATTGCCGTCAAAACTTTCAATTCGGTAGCAATAAACAGAAGGAATAAGCCCAAATGTGTGACCCTCTCGATCAAGGACGGAACTTTAAATTAAAACCCAAAAAAAAGAAGAAAAAGATCTTAACCAAGTGATACAAGGATTTCATTGAGTGACCAAAAGGAAGGAAAACAAAAACACACAAAGAAAAGTAAAAGCTCACCAGAGTGATCATATAACTGAGTTTCATTCCATCAAACACCAATTTGCATTTTAATTTGAGAATGAAGAAGAATGAGGAAAAAAAATAAGAACACAAAAAGATATGTTTTGCCGAATTTGCCAAGTGGTAGATGACACATTCATCAGGCTTTGTATCTCACTGCCACGACAGTTTGGAAGAATTTCTTGGGATTCTTGTAGTATTTTTTTTTTTTTTTGTAATAATAATAATAATAGGCTTTTTGGGCCCTGCATTTTCAACTATGTGGGTTTGATCTTTGAACTTTGAACTTCCAGAAATTCTTGTCACTTTTCTTTAAAATAAAAAAAAAAATCCGTCACAAGATGCCACCTATTACTATAATTGCAAGAGGTAGCATTACTCATATCTTGATAAATTAGAAATAAGTTAGTACCCACCTAATAATCTTATGTTTTAGTAATTACTAACAAATGATAATTAAGGTCATGGTAAACCGAAAGTTTTTCATAAGACATTCATATCTTTGCAAATGAAAATGTTTTACACTAACCTCATCACTGTTAGAATAAGATAGTATCTACCAAATAATCTTTTTTTTTTTTTACTAATTACTAACAATAATAATAAGGTTATGGTAAAAATCATAGCTTTCATAAGACATTCGATTCCTTGCAAATGAAGTGCTTTACAATAACCTCATTATTGTTAGTTATTACAAAAATGAGATTACCAAATGAATATTGTCTGAAAATCCTTATATATAGAGCGTGAGCGCGCAGTGCCTTTGTTCGTCATCGTTGTTCCCATGTATACTCCATGCATGGTATCATCTCCCCATCCAAGTTATTGTCATTAAATGACAAAAAAACCAAAAAAAAAAAAAATGGTACTGTAGAAATATATTGAGTATGGACTAAATTGTGATATTAGTTTGACAAACACATCATTTCAGTGCACTCCATATACATACATGATACATTTATTATATATTATACAATACATGATAAATCCAGTGGCGAAACCAGCTTGTGAGAGTTGGGGGGTTGACCTCCATTACCATTGGACGACCGTACAGGAGAAAAAACTTATATTTGAGTAATACATAAATTTTTTAAATAATGTAAATTCTTTTTTTTTCTTAAATAAATCATGTAAATTCATGAAATGTTAAAGGATGAATTCTCTAGCATACTATATTTATAATTGTAAATTTTACAAGGGTGGATTTTTTAGAACAAAACAAAATACATAAATTTATCAAAAAAATAATAGATTTTTTGAGGTCACACTATCGGATGACAATAATGTATAGAATCCATATTGACCTAAAGCACAACTTAGAAATGTGTTATACTATCATTTTAAATACGTAATTTTTAAATAAAAATATATTAATTTTAATTAATTTTATTTTTATAAATGATAAGTAAACGTAGAAATTTATTAAAATGTCCTAAATTCTCACAGAAATGAATGTGGGTAAATTTCATAGGTTTTGTAAAGTCATGGGACAAATTTCCTAAATAAAAGGTCAACTTTAATTGTCATAGGGCATTTTTTGCCATGTTTCTAAAGTATGGGGATTAACTAATAAATTCCAAATGTTCTGAAACCAAATCAACCACAAGTTCTCCTTCTTCGAGTATACCCGACGCTGCAACTTCCAACCACCGCCGGCAACAACAAATTTCAATGGTACTAGTGAGGCTCTTATTTCGCCTTCCTCAAACCTTCTCACTCCTAATCGGGAGGGGGCTCAGTGAGAAAACCGGAACCACCATGGCTCCGAACCGGAAATACCCTATGGGTTACGCCGGCCGAGACCCCAGGCCCCAAGGTGGTTTCGCCCCTGGATAAACCTACTATACATGATACATGATAAATCAAATATTTTTTAATTTGTGTATCAATAACAGGAGAAATTACATACATTCTGCACATTTAGGGTTTATTTGCCAACACTTATTTTGTATTTTTATCTCATTTTACCTCTTAAATCATTTCTCAAACACAAATTTCAATACTATCCAAACAACTTTTCAATTTACCTTTTAAAAAATATTCCAAAAATTATTTTTACATAATTTTCATCCATCACCACCGGACCACTTTCACCGTCGCCGTCACTGTCGGACCGCCCACCGCTACCGCCGGATCGCCGCCAGCCAGCGACCGGCAGACCGGATTCCGGCCGAATTCCAAAGCCGGTCGCTTCTTTGTTTTATGATATTATACCTGAATATTGTTTTAATACGTTAGGAGTACTTTCTTCTAGAAATTTTATGGTTTTCTCTTTGAGAACAGATTGCCCTTTGCAGTTTTTTCTTGTATCAACACATATTGATCACAGCAGAAAAAAAAATTGTTGCGATAATAGTAAGCGCAAGAACTCTAAACAAACTGTAGACTGATGATATTCCCAGGAACATTATAGCTGCAAGCGTTACCACTACGCTGCATATCTTTGTGTAGATACTTCATTTATGTACAACTTAAACAAGTAAAAGTTTTAGTCCCTGAAAACAAGACCTAAAACCTTGTGAAAGCATGAGAAGGTTTTTCTCTCTTTACTTGTTGGGAGACGGGGACCAAAATGGACAAACCAAACAACTAGTTACTCAACACAAGCTAGTTTTAGCACAGCGGAAACAAACCCAAGGCCTCCCCAATTTGCAAAATATAATAGGAGCGAAAAATACCAATACCAAGTGGAAATAAAGTTACAAATGAAACAACAAGAAAGCAAAAGCAGCACATGACACCAAATTTACGTAGAAAACCCCCTTCGGTATGAAGGAGTAAAAACTACGAGATCAAAAGGCCTATCAAATCCACTAATCTCCAAATAAGAATAGGAGTACACCAATCCAACAATACAACAAAGATATCTAGTCATCATCCAAGCTAAACCAGGCTACAAAGGCACTAGAATATCAATACAAGATCAAAAGATCAACTAAACATCCACAAAACCAGCAGCAACTTCAAATGTACAATACTCAAAATTTAGGTGACGAAAACCAAAACCCTGTAATGAAAATGAAGATCGATGAGTCTTGTAACTCCAGTCCAAATTTCAGGACCAACGGACAAATATTACCCCTCTAAACTTGAAGAATTCAGATGCTGTTACAGTTGAACCCTTGCTGTAAATATTCAACTCCCTCTCTCTCTGTTGATTCTGTTTTCTCTCGTAAAATGGCTGTATTGCCTCGTTCTGATTTTGGCAGCATTTTATTACGCCTTAGTGGACTCAAAAGTTGGGCCAAGACATGCTTAATACTTGGGCTTTTGACCCACATAGTTGGGAGCCCATCCCAACATTACTCTCGTTCCCTAAACCAATCTCATTTCCTCAGGCTGAACAGCAAAGCAACGATGTAAACCCCATAAATGTCAGCGACACCAGCTCTGGATTGCTGGTTCTCACTTCACTCCGTTCCAAGGCCAGAGTTTTCTCATCAGATGGCTCTTCTAATGAAAAACCCTGATTCCAGCCCAAATCTGGGACCAGAATCTACGGGAAAAAAAAAAAAAAGAATTCGCCGTTGAAATTGAAGACGCGAGGAACAAAGATGAGGACCCCTCTTTTTGTATAACAAGTTTTAGAATTTCTGTTATTGGGAGTTTATTCATATAGCTTGTTTTGCTAGTGCATAGGGTAAAGATTGGTTTTTTATTAACGCAAAATAAGACATGGTAATTGCCTAGTTGGTATGATCTCAATTTGCAAAGATTTTGGCTCTCACTATAATCTTTGTTGCAGCGTATTATTAGTGGGTCGAGCAAATAATATGAAATTCGAAGAAAATACTATTTGCTCCGTATTGATAGTCTGATCTGTGTATATTGGACCCTCTTTTTTGGTTTTCTTATTGATTGTTAGATTGTTACCAAATTTATTGTTGCTTTCATGAATGTATTGTTTATATTAGTTGGTTTGTGATTTGAAAGAATAAAATTAATACGTGCTTACGGCAATTCTATTACTAATATTTTCTTGTAACATGAGACCCTCTTTTCTACTTGCATCTGTTCAGTCATGTATGATTTTATTTTCAAATCTTTCTAGAAAGGAGATGAACAGGCACTTCCACCAATCCTGAACAAGCTCACGGATGAGACCAACTTTGCGTATGATGATTGATGACTATGACTACTCTTTTTTTTTTTTTACCATGAAAATTATATTGCATTCATTGTATAATAATGTTCTTCCCTTCTCTGAAAGCATGGATTTTTGCAGAAAGAGTTTTATCAACTGCTACTCGCCGAGTCCAAAAGAAAAAGGAAGTTTAGAAAATTAGCAGCCCGCTTAGAAATTGATGACCGCTCTTATCCTTGAGCTGTGATGCAGTAACATAAATATAATAGGTAGTAGTACTAGTTCAAATTCAACAGACTCACAGAGCATTTCAATTCCTGATAACTAGTTTATTCTGTATACTATGTTGGTTTTCATTTTGCAGCTCCAAGATCGCGTTCTTCCATCAGGTCTCGGATCTGGACATGACACTGGTCTTATTTGAATGGGATCCAAGCAGATCCCCTCCTCCAGCAAGTATTTGTGGTCTGGTTATTTTGGCCCTGGATTGTAGCACAGGTAAGCTCTACACCTACTCGAAGTTCATCCGCAATCGCTTTGTGCAGTACCCTATAGGTGTTTGAACTTCCGGGTGTGACTTTACCCTCGTAAAGCCTTGTTATATTAAAGTGGGGGAACAGATTTATGGCAGCGGCAAAGTACTCCTCTTGGTTTAATAGGGGTAGAGCACAAGTTCCGTGAAACTTATATTCGTGCTGCCATAGCCATTGAGATGGTCTATTTTGCTTTGGAGCCTTAAGATCTGGCCAAAATGTGTCCATTAATTGTGCCTGTGTTAAATCCTATGCATTGATATACAAATTATTGAATATATTAGTATTGGATGGTAACAAAATGATAATTATTCAGTATATAAACATGAATTTTATTTATTATTTTATTTTTTTTAAAAAAAGAGAGTACTGTTTACCCGTGGAATACAAGGATACGATCCATTAATGTCACAGTCATATAAAGGCCTATTAAAATTATCAGGCCAAAGGCCATGTAGAGTGAAGAACTCAGGCAGTCTTCTTCTGCTGCATGGGGCCCTTCGATCTGCTACTTCTTTATCACAAAACGTTCCCGGAGATTGATATACGACGTAGATCACATCCACATTC